TCAGAACAAACATTTCTGACAGCCAGGCTGAGGGCCTCTGATGGAGCCATGCTGTTGTAACTTGCGTTTGAGTGGATGCCAGCTTATGGTGAGTCCAAGTGAACAGAGTAGAACTGTTCCATAGCCTGCTCAAAGCTGTAACCTCTTGGAAGCAGATCGCAGGCCCATCTTCTAAGGCACCTCTTGAGTTGATTTGAACTGCCAAACTTTCAATTAGTAATCAAGTGCTTAACCATTTTTAAACCTTCTGAGGTAGCCTTCCAAGTAAATCCAATCTATTCCAATCAAGGCAATTCTGACCCATAAGAACTTTAAAGGATCCTTACAGAGGTCGATTGCCCCAGCTTTCTCCCTCAGAGCATCTGGTGGATTCCAACACCCAGTTTTTCTGTTAATAGTCTAGTGCTTAGCCATTGTGCCACCAGGGTTCTTTGATGTAGCCTTGTTGTTGTTAGGTGCCATCGAACCTACTCATAGCGACCACATGCACAGCAGAACGAAACAATGTCCGATCCTGGGCCAGCCTCACTACCACTGCCACACTTGAGTCCATCAATGATGCCACCTGGCCAATCCATGTCATTAGGGGTCTCCCTCTTTTTCTCTGACCCTCCACCTTACCCAGCATGACATCCTTCTCCAGCGACTGTTTCCTCCGGACAATATGTCCAAAGTATGAGAGACGAAGCTTAGCCATCTTGGCCTCCCAGGAGCACTCTGGCTGCACTTCTTCCAAAACAGATCTATTGGTTCTTTTGGCAGTCCATGGCACTTTTAGTATTCTCCTCCAACACCACAACTCAAAGGCATCAATTCTTCTACCATCTTTCTCTGTAAACTTTCACCCAAATCAGAAAAAATAAAAGAGAATGCCTAAGGTTACGGAATGTGTGTGTTGTCAGGAGGGGTGTGTGAGTCCAATAAAGAGGGTGAGGTACAAGCTAGTCTTCCCATCCCCATCAGCACTAAATGGGGGATCTCTTTGAGGTACCTCAAAGTCCTTCTCATTGCTTCAAACAGGGTCAAAATTGTGATTTTTTGAAAATATATGAAAGAACATGAAATAACTAACACATTATGAGACCTAAAGCATTGCTGTATTTGGACTGCTACAGGGTAAGATGGCAGCATTTCTATCAAGTTCGGAAGTGAAATTCAAGATGAGCATGGAGTGTCATCTTAGGGAAATTGTGCATGTCTGTGGCAAACCTGGGCCCACCCCACAACCGTGCTGGCCAGACACATGCTCATGCTTTGCCACATCAAAGGAAGCCACTGACACCTCCATAATAGAGGGACAATTGTAGGCTCCTTGTCCTAGCCACTTGTACTGCCTGACCTAATGAAGTCACCCAATAAAATCCAGGTTTCAGAAAGAACTATTGTGAAATATTTTCTAGAAAAATGCTAAGATTTTTTATTTAAGTGCCAATATCAGTACTTATTGAGCAACATACATTGTATTCCTAAAGTATGGTGCTCTACTGCACTTGTTATTTTTCACATTTTCCAGCAGGTAGGCATGTGGCCAAGAAAATGAAGAGACAGGGAAGTTCAATAACGTTCACACTGTAACTCTGTAATGATGTTCAGACCAATTCTATTTACATCAAAGTAATGCATCCAACAGCCTAATGACTAAAATATAGATATAGATTTTTGGGCAGAAATGGGAATAATGTTAGTAATAGCTTCCTCCCCCCCCCCCCATTTTGAATCATTTGACTCGATTCATGAGTTTAATACTGCATATAACCTTATAGATATATTTGAAGTAGTAATTCATAAGACTTTAATTATAGAGACAGCTCATTTTACATATTCTATTTTGCCTCATGCTATTAAAATATGGTTTATTTTAAAATATAAAATACTTTTCAAGTATTTCAAAAGCTTAAGGGTTGCTGGCATACAATATTTTATGTTTTACAGGGATTGTTTCTTTTCATATAATTTCCTTAACAGGAACCTGCCACAGTATTAGGTGGGAGAATTAGTTCAGATCTTAGCGCTATTTTAGAACATTCCATCTCAGATTATGTCATAAGACACTAGCAGGTGTCATTTGCCAATGGGCTTCCCAGTAATCTGGACCACTGCAGACATGAAGGCTTTTAACAGAGAGAATTTGTTTTTCTTTTTTATGTTAATTAAAATCCTTTCTGGTCTTTTCTTGTACCAATGCATGCACATTCTTCCCCTGAAATTACACATAACAATTTATACACACACATAGTATTTTCTTAATTGTAATTATCAATTCATACTTTCTTTTGATATTTGCACATCATTGAATATTCTTTTGTAACAGATTAGATGATTGGGAAGTATTTCATTATGTAAATGGGCTATCATTTATTCAACCAACTTTTGCTAATGTTTTTTTCTGTCTTATAGATAAGACTGTTTTGAACATCTATATAGTTAAAACTTTGCATCTATTCATGGTCATTAAGATCAATACCTAAAGTATAAATATTACATTAAAGAGAATAAAAAATCTTGAGATCACCTTACAGAAAGGTACACTATATGCCTTCATACCTTATATGTCAGAAAATCGAGGTCTCCAGATACTTAGTCTATATTACTATAGGATCATCAACATTAGGATTTTATATCTGTTAATACAGTGGGAAGCAGCAGTCAAGAAATCAAATGATATATTGCATTAGGCAAATCGACTGCACAAGACCTCTTAAAAATGTTGACGAACAAAGATGTCAGTTTGAAGATTAAGGTGCTCCTAACTGACTGAAGGTAAAAGTTGAACAGTGAATAAGGAAGACCATCAAAGAATCTGTGCTTTTAAGTGAATGGTGCTGGAGGAGAATACTAAAAGTACCATAGACTGCCAAAAGAGCAAACAAATCTTTTGGAAGTATTACAGTTAGAATGCTCCTTGGAAGCCAGGATGGCCACACTTTGTCTATCATAATCTGGGCATATTATCAGAAGAGACTAGTTCATGGGATAGGATATCATGTTGGGTAAAGTGGAGGATCAGAGAAAAAGAAGACCCTCTTTAGTACATTTTCAGCTTTAGGGCATTTTTCTTATTTTATAAAGTCATATTATTCAAAAGGTAATATAACCTGAATTAAAATTATTTTTATCATCGTAGATTTAAAGATATGAGATATTGACCTATGTGATGGTCTGTTAAGTCAAAAGACTGGCAGGGAGATGACTGCCTTAAGATCACATCATCCATTGCTGTGTAACAATTTAGCCCTAAATTTACCAACTTAATACAGCAAGCATTTTCTGTGGATTTTTTTGTGGATTCATGTTGTCTCATGAGTTTGCAGTCAAGCTGTCAGCCTGCCCAGGACTTGAAGACTTGCCTGTAGCAGAATGATCCACTTCTCCACTCATGTGACTGTTTATTGGTTCACATCAGTTCTTCACCACATAGGCCTTTTCTTAGGATTTCTCACAGTATAGCTTCCCTGCTGAGGAAGGGATTCATGGAAGAGAGACAGAACATGAACTCAAGGTGTTTTTATAACTTAATCTCTAAAGTGATATGCCATTACTTTTAGTATACTATACATTTAGCTTATAATAAGCCCTGGTGTTGGAGGGTTTAAATAACTTGTCTATTGACCAAAATGCAATCTTTGTCTCTCATACTTCGGACATACTGTCAGGAGGGACAAGTCGCTGAAGAAGGATATCATGTTTGGTAAAGTGAAGGGTCAGAAAAAATGAGGAAGACCCCCAGTGAGATGGATTGGCAAAGTGGCAGCATCAATGGACTCAAGTGTGGCAACAGTAGTGAGGTTGGCCCAGGATCGGGCAGTGTATCGTTCTGCTGTGCATAAGGTTGCTAAGGGTCGTTATCGACTCGATGACACCTAACAACAACAACAATGATGATGATTAAAAGCTTGGTGGTTCAACCAACCCAGGCAAAAAAAATGTGGCAGTTGGCTTCCAGAAAGATTTACAGCTTTGGAAACCTAATGGGGCCGTTCTACTCTATCCTGTAGGGTCACTGTATGCCTGACTTGACTCCCTGGATGTTGGTTTGTTTGTTTTGGTATTTAGCTTACAAACCCATTTTGTTACAGTGTAGGAGGGAAATGCACAAGGGAAGCAGGGATTTATTTGTTGTTGTTAAGGGCTGTCAAGTTGGTTCTGACCCATAGTGACCCTGTATAGGGTTTCTGAGGAATGACTGGTGAGCGTGAACCAACAATCTTGAGGTTTAAACCAACTTTGCAGTCCAGCACAACAACCCACAGTAACACATAAGAGCACATAAAATTACCTTAAGTAAACATTTGCCATAATAAATTATTATAACTACTTAGTGTATCCATTAAGTATACCCAAACTGTCTAATTCTTTTAACTGTCCATAGTTCCACTTAAGCACTCAGGAATACAAAATCTTTAAATGTCTCTACATGGTTACGAATTGGGCTGCTAATCTCAAGGTCAGCAGTTCGTAACTACCAGCTGTTATGCAGGAGAAAGATGAGGATTTCTGCTCCCATAAATATTTACAGCCTCGTAAACCTGGTACCAGGTCGCTATGGGTCAGAATTGACTCTGAAGCACTTAACAACAACAATAATATACTATAGAATAACTCTTCATTTTTCATTTTAAAGGAAAAAAAAGCTTTCGTCTTCTGTTTTCTTGAGAACTTAAATCAACTTTCTCTGTTTATTGCGAATGAAAATGAAACATAAGTGTGTTATCACAAAGAATTACATAATCAATGTTTTGTGTCTGAATTCTCTTTCCTACAAATATTTTTAATAGCAAAAATATGCTTTAGATAGCTTTTTTTTTTTCAAGTTTGAGCTTCTTTTTAAAATGAGAATCACTTCAATAATTGCTTCATATTACTTGAGAACTAAGTAGGATTGATGCCATGCTGTAAGTACAAAGGACTTTGTAATGACTTTAATGTAACCTGTTTTGTTGTGCAATTTATTTTCATTTTCTTTAAACAATTGATTATATAACTTTATCTTTTTATTCTAGGTCCCCAAAAAACCCAGAACAGAAGATCATTAAAAGAGTGATTGCTCTTGAAGGAGACATTGTAAAGTAAGTACTTGAACTGTTTTTTGTTTTGTTTTGTTTTGTTTTGTTTTTGTGAGATGAACTTTGAAATTTTCAGACTTTATACGGTTTAAGATTACATTGATTGTCAAATATATCTCAATTCAAAGAGGACCAATGCTTTGGAGACATTCCAAATGAACTGATACATCCTTAGTGATCATTTTCAGCCATTTCAAGACAGAATGCACTTATAAATTAATTGATCATGTTAGTATCCTATAATTGTGGAGCCCAGAAGAAAAAAACTATTAAGTAAACTGAAATTAGCCACATTCTTTAGAGTTACTGTTAAATCATTGTGTTTCAGATATTAAAATTAGTCTTAAAACATAGCAAGATTTGAAAAATTTTCAGGACATTTTATTATTTTTCTGCAAATGTAGAAACTATGACTGGCTGACTTTTGTAGTCACAGCTATTAGTAAAACTGGAAAGGATGTGACACCAGAATCTGAGTCAGTGCCAGAGTAGGAGCTGTAGAAAACAACATCGTAACAACCAGCTGGTTTAACGTCGGGTACGAATGGGTGATTTAGTCTCCATGCTGATAAATCTGTGACTATGGAACATTTGAGATCCAGCAAGATAGTATTGGTGTGGTATAACATGTCTTATTTTAATTGTTCATTTTAAATAAGTTGTAGCAAAGCTATTGCCCTACGGGAGTCAAAATATTTTTGAAAACATTAGTCAGAAAAATTTCTGTTTCTCCTTTGCCAAAAATCTTAGAGAAATACCTTTTATTAATGAGTCGCAATCACCTTTTGAGGAGATAAGTTGTCAAAAGGATGATCAAAGTAACCCGGGGACCTTCCCAAGATTCTTTTAAGGTTTCTATGAAATCAAAATTGTTTTCCAAACCGTATTGTTACTTTCTTTTTCTCTTACTTTCTTTCATGAGTATATGGTGAGATTGTTTTCAGAAATCCTACGACAGACTGACTTCTGAGGAAAAGGCAAAATTGTGGCTTTTCTTGGTAAATGTGACTATTGAGTTCCCAGAGCAGTGGCAGGGCCAGGATACTGGTGCGGGATTGAATTTGGAGGGAAGGGAAGTTGGGTCATACCCAGATTCACACCCACCCTCTTTCCTCACTGCAGCAGCAACACACATACAAGTGCAGCGCATGGACTGACACTTGGAGCATGGGTCCCCATCAGTCCCCTTACACGACTCTTCTATCATGGCGCAATGAAAAACAAGTAATGGCAGTTTCCAGTCTTAGGACTTTGCCACTGAGTGACCTTTAAGACCTATTGGATAATTGATCAGAAAAAAACAATCTTTTTTTAGTGTTACATGTTTTCAAAGAAATCAAAAATATCTTTCCTCTGAAACTTTGATACCTGAAGATATTCTTGGGCTTTGAATTAATATTTAAATACAGCTGTTTTGTTTGTTTGTTTTCCATAACAGTATTGGAAAATGTTAAGGAATATATTGTAATCGAATTACTATTTATTGATTTTACTTGTTTTCACAGTGACCCATTTTTAAAATGCCAGAATATATTTTAAAATATTGTATAAATACTCCTCAGAATAACCAACCACATGAGACCCAAAGAGGCAGCATTTGCCCAAAAACAAAGCCTAGAAGTCAATAAGTAAAGGAAAGGCAGACAAGTAGAAATGGGAAACCCGTGGAGGAGTGGGAAGACTGCTTATATTGAGGGGATTGCGGGGATTGCAACTAATTCACAAAGGAAATGTTATGAATTGTTGAATATAAAACTAATTGGCTCTATAAACTTTCAAATCTCTCTCTCTCTATTTATCTATATATATCTATATAAATATATATCTATATCTATATATCTATATCTATATATCTATATATCTGGTAGCGTAGTGGTTACGAAGTAGGCTGCGAACCACAAGGTCAACAGTACAAAACTACCAGCTGTTCCACGGGAGAAAGATGATGCTTTCTGCTCCCGTAAAGATTTATAGCCTAGGAAACCCTGTACAGGGTCGCTGTGAGTCGGAATGGACTCACAGCACATCACAACAACAACTATAAATAAATAAAAATAAATAAATAATAAATAAATAAATGTTGTTAAGTGCCATCGACTCGATTCAGACCCATAGTGACCCTGTACAGGGTTTCTGAGGAGCCGTTGGTGCACTTGAACCACCGACCTGGCAGTTCAAACGATTTGCAGTCTGGCGCATTAACCCAGTGTCACACTGAGACTCCATATATGTATATATGTGTGTGTATATATATATATATATATGTATACGTATATATGTGTGTATATGTATATGTGTGTCTATATGTATATGTGTGTGTATATGTGTATGTGTATGTGTATATGTGTATGTGTGTATGTGTGTATGTGTGTGTGTGTAGATGTGTGTATGTATATATGTGTGTATGTATATATGTGTGTGTATATGTATAGATTGTGTGTGTATGTATAGATGTGTGTGTGTACGTATATATGTGTGCATATATGTATATATGTTGTCGTTACATGCCTTCTAGTCAGTTCCAACTCATAGCAACCCTGAGCACAACAAAACAAAGCAAAACACTGCTTGGTCCTGTGCCATCCTCATAATCATTTTTATTCTTGAGCCCATCGCTGCTGCCCCTGTGTCAGTCCATTTTGTTGGGGTCTTCCTCTGTTTTGCTGACCTTCCACTTTACCAAGTATGATGTCCTTTTCCAGGGCCAGGCCCCTCCTGATCATATATCCTAATTGTGAGTCATGGTGAGATGAATTCTCACCCTCCTGGCTTCCAAGGAGCATTCTGGCTATACTGCTTCCAACACAGATTTGTCTGTTTTATAGTGTGTGTATGTGTATATGTATATATATATATACATATACACATACATACACTATAGCTTGTGATAGGGAGTTTGTAAGTCCCTCCTATACTACTTGACTAATACTCAATTACCTTATAATGAAACTAAGCACAACTGTAGGTCAATAAAAATTTTTTTCATACTATTTAATAAAATTATTAAAGACAAATAACTGATTTTTTAGTATATTTACTATAGTGTTTAAGTAGCTCTGGTCACACAATACTTAAATGCTTAGCTGCTAACTTAGAGGTTGGTAGTTTGAACCTACCCAGTCTAGAAAACCCTATGGGACATTTCTCTTCCATCACATGAGGTCACTATGAGGCAAAAACAACTGGGTAGCACCCAATAGCAATGATAAGATTTAATAGTATTTTTATTTTGCATTATATGCTCTATTTTGAATTATTACTGGGTAGAAAGGGAACTGTAATTTTGTTACAGGTTAGACTCTTTAAAGGCTTAATTGTCAAGTTCATGTTCTGCTAGGTAAATTATTTTAGCATGCAAAAAACCAACATGTAATCAAATAAGTCAAAGAAGACCCATTTTAAAGATACTGGAGAAGTAAAGACTGTAGGACCCAGTGGTCATGCTAGCCTCCCTGGAGAACTGGAATTGCAGTATAGTAAGACTTAAACAGTTTCTCTTCCACTTTCCCATTGCCTGTGCCCATCTTCTTTGTGTTTCTGTTGACTTTGGCCCTATTGCCAACTGCTGACTTCCTGGGTATGCCTCAAGTTGAATTTCCTGAAAGAAATTTGAGTGCACTCCTTTGGGGTTTAGATCTTGGATGTATTTACCTGACAAGTCAATTTACAAGACAACAAATTGACCTTTGCCATCAAGTGCCCTTTCTTTACCCAGTCCTCTGTGACTAGTGTCCCTGGCACAGACACTATAGTTGCAAGAAACTTCTTGGAGGGACTTTGCAGGTGTGACCAATACTGCTACCCCTTTCAGAAGGAAGCCGTGTAATAATTTGGCTCAGCATTAACCCCTTAAAACTACAGTTCACTAAAACTGTAATTGTCTTTACTTGCTAGTTGTTTTGATATTATTCTTTAGGGGACATTAGCTGGATTTTGTGGTGTTTTTTGTTTGGGATTGCTTTATTCTGTTTTCGATTATAGAAATAAACTTGTGAAAGTAAAATAATTCAAATGGTATAATGAACATTCTTGCACAGGTACCCATGTGTCTTTGTAGAATATATTGTTAGAAGTGGAATTATTGGGTCAAGATACGTTGTTATTATCACTATTGTGTGGTCTTACTATTTTGAACTTTTATTGTGAGTTAAGTAAAGCTTTACATAGTAGATCAGTTTTCCATTAAATATTATTTTTAAATTCTAATATATATTATCAAATTTCCCTCCTAAGAAGTTTTGTGTTTGCACTCTTACCAAGACTGCACAAACAACTGTTTTCATGAGCAACTGTTTTAAAGGTCATGTGCAATGGGGAAACTGAACTCCCTAAGAGTGGGGGATGTACTTGACTGCTCTTAACAACATCAAGAAATATGTATCTGTGTCAGATGTATATTTGCTATTCTTTTGTTATGGAATAGGGTAAGTATTGGCCTGCTAACTGCCAGGTTGGTAGTTCAAACCCTGCAGCCATTTGGTGGGAGAAAGATGAGACTTTCTGCTCCCATAAAGATTACAGACTCAGAAATCCTATACAGGAATGTTACCAGTCAGAACTCAGTCAGTGGCTCTGGGTTTAAGTCAGAACTCAGTCAGTGGCTCTGGGTTTAAGTCAGAACTCAGTCAGTGGCTCTGGGTTTACTATGGAATGCTCTTGCCCAAATACTAATATGGCTTTCTCCCTTAATGAGAAAATGTGCTTCAGGTTCAGATATCAAAGCAGTGTATCCTCATTTTATCATGAGTTTTAGATGATCAGATTATAGTTCATTTATTCAGTTCACTGACATTGTAGGCCTTAGTAACATTTACCTAACAAGCATTTGTCTAAACACTGAAGTCCGGGTGTGGCGCTATGGGATAAAGCATTGGATTGCAAGGTTGGTTTGAAACTCAGGGTCGGTGGGGCAAACTCACTAGCTTCTCCACAGAAACCCTATACAGGTGGCTATAAGTCAGAACTGACTTCGTGGCACTTAACAATAACAGTGTAAACACTGG